TCTTTCAAGCCTAAAAAATTAGAATACAATAAGTAGTTGAAAACACAATAAAATGGTTTTCTAAAAATTAAAATTTAAAATTAGATTTCTAAAATTAGTTGAGAATAAGGCTATTTTATGTATAGAATGAATTTTTTAATTTGCTTCAGCTCTTTTTTTGTTAGGTTTTCCATTTAGTACATTTATTATTATTAATTGACTAATAGTAAGCTCTATGATGTCATGTATGTACTATATTCAATGGGCTTTACTAACTAGCAACATGTGTTTCATTGAAACGTAAAATTGTTTGAAGAATTATTTACAATGAATAATACTCCACAAAATAAATAAACTACAACAACAAAAAAAATGAACTTAGGGCGCATTAAAAAATATAACTAAGTATACAAATAATAGTATAAGGAAGGAATTAGATACTGAAAAAGGTAAAAAAAAAAAAGGACAAAATGAAAGAAAAACTAATTATATAGTTGAGAAATTTTGGTGTAGAAAGATCAAAAAGGTGCTTGCCTACCTATAAGAAAATCTACGTGTATGTATATATATATATATATATGAAATTAGCTATTTTAATTAGAGTTGTTTCTCACTCCTATGTGGCATGCCTAATTGAAAATAATTAACTGGTTATAGGTCACTTGGCTTTTACCCATATTGAATCCTATTTGGATTATATTATGTGTTTCAAAGTTACCTCTAATTTTAAAATAATTTTAAAAAATAACTAATTTTATCTTAATGATATTGCTTTAAAAACAACCAATCTTATCTTAATGATTCTACTTTCTATCAAATTATTACATATAAAACTATAGTAAAACCTTTTTCAAATCACAATTATTGAAAATCTTACATATTCCAAATTACTTCCTTAATCACAATTATTAAAATCTTACATACCTAAATTACTTCCTTTCACCACTATACCGTTGATTAGTATTCAAATTGTTTATCATTTCTTCCCTTAATTTTGAATTAATTTAGTGTAAAAAAGAAAATTAACTCTTACACTGACAGATTTACCAATATTGTTGAAAACTGAATATTTATTAATGAAGAAAAATGATTTTTTGAGTTTTTTCTACTTAATTAAATATGAATATATAGTTCTGGATTTATGGTCATTCTAAAAAATTTAAATTGTCTAAAAGAACATTTGTAAAAAAAATCTACCAAGTTTTTTATATGAGATACATTATTTGATGTATATTATCATATTATAGTGAAAGTATGTAAACAAAATTTAAAAAATTAGTAAATAATTGAATATTTAGAATACATTAAATTTTTAAAGTTAGTGGATAAACATGTAGAATTGTTGTTAGTTTTTATATTTAAATTATTTATATTTGTATAAATTCACAATAAATAAAAAAAAGATCGTGCTAATACACATGCAAAATTCTAGTTATATAAGAAGAAAGTGGAGTTAGTATAGCAACCTCTTTGATTACCAAATGGCTTCCATTCATCTTGACACGTGGCACATTTCTCCTTTGACACTTCATTTTTTCCTTTTTTTTTTTTTGCTTTTTTTTGTTCACCTTATTTCTTCTCACCTCTCTGGTTAAAGATAACTAAACAAACCCTCATTTACATTGCAGCTTCCTTGTTTAGTTTCCGCTTTGTATTCCTTTCTTTTTTTCCTTCATCCTAATCATTTACTTTGTTTTTTCTCTATTGGATTAGTTGATGCATTTTCTTTCAATTTAATTCATAAATTAACTACATGAATGATTTCATTGCAAGAGATCAAGGATGGGTTTGATATTTCTTTTCTTGCTTAGTCCAATAATCATGATTCAATGATTTTCTGTCATTGCCTTCTCTCTTTGGTACGTACTTTTTTTTTTTGCCATTTTTTGCCTCTTGATTAGAAACTTTTGCTTATTCCTTTTTCTCGTTGTCTTCTCCTTCATCTGCTTTCTTTTTCCTCCTAAAAGAGTCAAGTTGAAGTTTGCATGCGATGTTGTGAGTACTTTTCCCCCCCAAATCTAAAGAAACATGCTTTTTACAGTTTTTAAATTTTATTTATTCTGAAATTACTTTTTGGCCTTTCTATTTTTGGAAAAAAATTTCCTAAGGTTGATAAGAAGATGGGTGGTGATTACATGAAGAATCTTCAAACTAGTGATGAAAGAATTGTAACTAATTTTCCCCCCATAAAATAATAAACGCCATTATACATATTCATTCCAATTTTAATTTTTTATTTATTAAAATTGTTATTTGATAATAGGGTGATAGTTCTAGAGCGGAGGAAGAAGAATCTGATAAGTGAAAAGTGTAGGGTAAACAATGATCAGGAAGGAAATTGTGAGGTCTGTTGAATTAAAAATTAATCAAAATCTCTTAATTTATGGATAGATAATTATATTTTGATGTTTTGATTTATATAAAGTTTCTTAATAGTGACATGTGTTTATTTACTAGATAAGGTGGATGATGTGTAAAATAATTGTTGAGCAATTTAGGATGTGAAGAAAATATTTCGTATCTCTTCATTTTAAATTACTAACTTGTATCCATGATAGGTAGTTTATTTTCATGATTTTTAATTTTAACAAATGATAGGCTGAGAGTAAAAGAAATGTAAAATTAGATTTCAAAATCTTTTGCTTAAAGTGGTTCTATATGGTTTTGTACTCTTATTCTTTTTTATTATTCATAATGATAGATAATGTAATTAAAGTTTGAAATGATTGTTAGGCGTGGAACTGGACATATCATTACTATTTGGTTGAAGAAATTGGTAATATTTTATTAATTTAACTAGTTAAAATGATTGCGATTATCAAAGGATCACAGTTGGTGGTGGAAGATAGCATTGAGGCTTTCAACCTAGAGTATAACTCGACAAATTAGAAAATTCAATTTTGATTGAAAAGACATTTTTGCAATCAAATACATCATTGGTTTCAAGTTTCTATATGTAGATTTGGAAACATGACCGTTCATATTTTTATTTAAAATTGTTATTTGTATTCTAGAGCTATTTGGTGAGATAATGTTCTCACTTATTTGTAATATTATTAAGTAGGATTAAAATGGATGGATTAACTCGCTTTTTCTCTCAAAAAGAAAGAAAAATGTGCAAGTTTGTATGTTTTATTAATATTGAAGAGTGTGATAGATTTTGGTGGTTTTCTAAATTTTTTCTAATTATTAAAGTGCTAGAAACATTATGACTGTTTTTTTGATTAGTGACAACTAAAACTATACTACTATTAAATCGATAATGCACTCCTAATGGATTTGCTTTCTCTTCTTTTTTGGTATCATTACTTACACATAATATTGGTTAAGAAATCTTTGTTCAAATCACAATAAATAGGAGGCTAACTTCATAAATAGAATTTCTTTTCACAGCAAAATTTAATTATTTTAATACTCAAATTTTCTCATATATTTCTATTCATTATGTATCAAAAAACTTTGTTACTATGTATTCAACTAGGTTTCTTGGGGAACCCGGCTGTGCAAGGCAAAGCCGAGGTACCTCTAGTGTTTTGTAAATAAAGGCAACTTGAGGTAATATCGATATTATTTGTTTTTTCGTTTGAGATAAAATGTATTTTGGTCAATAATATAATTCAAAATGTGATATTCCGATCCCAATTCTCAAATTTTATTTCCTTTTAGTATCCAAGCTCAAAAACCATACCATGTAATGAAACTCCCCATATTCACCATTCAAACATAATAATGCTACATAAGTGACAATTTCAGGCTAAAACTTGTTTGAAATTGACTCCACAAGACTCCAAGTCCTTAAATCCCCACAAAACATTTTGTATCCATAGAAAAATGCTGAGTGTGTTTGAATATTATTTGGAATAATATTTTCAAAAAAATACTGTAATCTAATTAAACGTAAAATAAAAAGGTGATTAAAAAGAGGAATAGATGATTAAACAACGTACCTATGATATAATCAAAAATATTTTTGTCATATTAAGGATAACGAGTGCCAACCATTGTACTTACAAGATTGCTGTTTGTATCCTGTGTACCATTAAACGTAAAGTCCGTCCGTATCTACTGTGCTTACATATGTGTAGTTCTTTATGGGGTACAATTTTGCCTCTCCCCACATGCTCACCATACACACAATTCTTAGCATACATATGCATGCATCCATTCATGAATAATGAGCACTTTAACCCATGCTGCCATACATCATGCATCATGATACTGTTTGACAGTGGAGAGAGAGGCGAAAGAAAGTCTATGGTAAGATGACTAATAAGAGCAGCAGCTGTGAACTTTTTTCCTCTTTTACAATGTGCTACAGAGAAAGAGAGAGAGAGAGAGAGTTACAGCCTCCAAAGTCCAAAACAGTAACAGGGAACAGCTACCCACTTGGCAATTTTTGCCTAAAAAAGTTTGATAATCAGTCTGGTTCCAATAAAAACAGCCCCTTACTTTCCATTTCTTCTCCATCAAAATCTTTTCACTGTTTTGTGTAATCTCATTAAATTAGTATCTCATAAATGCCCATGCCCCTTATTTATTGTCAAGAAAAAACCAAATGGAGTAGGAGGACTATACTCTACAAACACACAGTTGTAGTGTCTTGCATACATGTGACAGAGGATTTTTTGTTTTTATAGAAAATTTGCAGAAAATAATTTATATATTTTTTTAAAAGTGTTTCTATGAGAAAAATTCATTAAAAAATGTTTTTAAAATGTTGCAACACAAATTTCCAAAATATGGAAGTTTCAAGAGTGAGGCTATGGCATTAATATGACTATAGCTAAATTGTCAGGTGTTTCAATTTTTGGGGTAAAAAAACTACTAAACAATTTCTCATACAATTATTATTACTTCTGTATTTTGCTTTTTTTATGAAACAAAAAAAAATGAAAAAGAGTACAGACTAACAGTAGACCTCTGTTGTTGATTTATTTGTTTTTTCTGCTTTGCTTTGCTTTGCTTTCTTTTCTATTCTGTGGGTTGGTTTGTCTTGTATTGTCTTCTGCCTTTGTAGGCTGTCTCTCTCTTTTCACCCTATCTGTATATCTACACAGTAGCATTCTCTTTTTCTCTTTTCCAAATTTCACTTTCCCTCAAATTCTCGAGATTGGGGAGTTAACTTGAGATAAAAGGACCAAAGGGACTTCTTTTTTCATCTTCTTTCAGTAGTTTTTAGCCTTTGGAGCTTCTTCCCATCCCATTGTGTGAAGGAGAGGAAAAGAGGAGTGAAAAAGATCAAATCTTGATGAGTGAGAGAGGAGGCTCTCTTATGAGGAGAGAGCCTGCCTGTACATGCAAGAAAGGAAAAAACCCACAAAATTTATCGTCATAATCTTCACTATTCTGTGTGTTTCTTGGTGAAACAGTGAAATTTTAGTAGCAGAAAAGAGAAAAACTTTGTTCTTGGTACTGTTCTGTTGTGGTTTTTGTCTGTTTATGGCTCTTTCTATTCATAGAGATTCAATCAGTGGTGGAAGCAAGCAACAACAGATGGATAATAGCAAGTACGTGAGGTACACACCTGAGCAAGTTGAAGCTCTTGAAAGGGTATATGCGGAATGTCCAAAGCCCAGTTCTTTGAGAAGGCAGCAGCTCATTAGGGAGTGTCCTATTCTTTCTAATATTGAGCCTAAGCAGATCAAAGTCTGGTTTCAGAACAGAAGGTATAATATATTTTCATTTTTGGCATTTACTGTCTTGCATGTGCACAGAAATTTCTGTTTTTATTATTTTGGTTAAAAAAATGAGTTTTTTTGGAAGTAAGCTAATTTTTTGCTGCAATTTACGTTTCTTCTTATAAAGGGTTTCCATTTGGTGAAATTTTTTTTCTTTTTGTAGCTTTTTGTTGGAAGAAAGAGAGATAGGAGATGGATCTGCTTTTACATTTCCTTATCTGTACTTTTCTCGGAGAATGAGCAGTTTCTTGTTTTTTTTTTGTTGCATTTTTTTGACAAGCATTAGTCAGTATCTGGTTCTTTTCTGCTCTTGGTAATTGATTTTTCGAACTATGGTTATCTTTTTTTGGGAAAGGGAGAGCTGATAAGTATGCTTGTCTCTAGAATGTCCTAGTGTTTTGAAGCGGATGGTTTGTTTTCTTTAACAGAAATGAAGCAAAGGGAACTATTCTTCTTTGGGGTTTTTTCTTGAGCATTTTGTTTCAGATTCTTTACCTCATTTAATTAGGTTTCTTTCCGATTTCGCATTCAAGAGAAAAATTTATTTTCTCCTTCAGAAAAAAGTTAATGTAATAATGATTGCCCTCCTTATGAGTGTGCTCTTCTTTGAGCTAGACTGGGATTTTTTTTGTTCTATTGGTTCCTTGTACTTCACCCTTTTGTCCTGATTTTATTTTTTTATGTCATAAGCTAAACTTGTGTTGTGCCGAGTATAATCTACCAGAAATGGTAGTTCTTGTTCGGGTTAGGATTTTTTTTTCTTGTCTTTCAAAATCGTATATTTTTCTTGCTTCACATTTAGTACTAACTGATTCTTAATGGAGTCATTTTATTATTCAGAACTTTAACTTCCAACGAGTTTTTGATAATTGTTTCATTTTCTTTCATGATCCTAATAGAGTTTTGAAGTAAAGAAGATAACTTTCATTTCGCTTGCTTCCAGTATTAGCTGATTCTTTGCGGCTCTCTTCTCTCTTGCTAACATTGGTTTTGGATTTTTAAATTTTGCACGGTGGTTTTCTCGTGTTGCTCCGTCCTAGGAAAAATTGATATTTGGTACAATCCGTGACATAGTATAATTTTTATGTTCTCAAGTGATTTCTGAGCTTTCAACTGTTCATCTTTTTATGAGCAGGCTAGTTGCCTTGTTTTATTTCATTATAGCATCAGCAGTTGAATTGTTGTATTTATTAAGGATCCTTTTTAGCAATTATTTTATGAGCTGCCTGTAATTTTTCTCTGGAGATGGTAGGTAAACCATGAAATGGAGCTGCAAGGTGTTTGAGTTCAATATATTTGGCAATGGTTGTGGAAATGGAGTCATGCATGAAGTATTACTATCTGCTTTTCTCTCTCCTTAGGCACAAGTGTATGGTAGATAGCCTAGAAAATGTAAGGTAATCTATTTACTGATCTTTACAGGTGCCGTGAAAAGCAAAGAAAGGAAGCTTCTCGGCTACAGACTGTAAACAGGAAGCTTTCTGCCATGAACAAGCTGCTGATGGAAGAAAATGACCGCTTACAAAAGCAAGTATCCCAGCTGGTCTACGAGAATGGCTACATGCGTACGCAGATACAAACTGTAAGTTGATCTCAGCTATGGATGCCAGAAAAGGCAATTCTAGGCCATGTTAGGTTTATCCTGTTACAGTAAACTAAAGTATCTGTATATTCTTTATTTTTTGTTAATAAAGTTGATTGTTCTTTCTGAATTTTACGACTGACAACCTTTGATTTTGAATCTACATTTAGAGTTAGATAATGCTATTGATTGCTATGCAATTTTGTTTTAATTCAGTGTGTAGAATAGTTTTGAGAACTTCTGGATATAATACTTGCAAAATTTTCCTTTGTTACAGGTAAGCACAGCGACCACAGATACAAGCTGTGAGTCTGTGGTCATGACTGGTCAGCAGCAACAACAAAACCCAACTCAACATCCCCAAAGGGATGCAAACAACCCAGCTGGGTAATGTGCCTATATTTTCCGTCTTTCTTTCTTGGGTAGCACAAATGTTTTGATTGGTTTAATTGCTTGCTGGCTCTTCAGCTAATCAAACAACTTTTTTGTATCTCAGTCTTCTCGCTGTGGCTGAGGAGACCCTGGCAGAGTTCCTTGGAAAGGCTACTGGAACTGCTGTCGACTGGGTCCAGATGATTGGGATGAAGGTATTTAACTTCAATGTGTACATGAAACTGCAATTCTTTTCCTAGATGTGTTGTTGTACTAGGTGCAGTTGCAAATATTGATATTCATTTATCCCTTGCAATCTCTAGCCTGGTCCGGATTCTATTGGCATTGTTGCAGTTTCCCGCAACTGTAGCGGTGTAGCAGCACGTGCCTGCGGTCTTGTGAGTCTAGAGCCCACGAAGGTATACTTCAACTGTTTTTACCAATTTTGGCTCAATTTGAGAACAAAAGCAATTCAAAATTTGAATGCATTAATCTCCTTATTATTGTTGGTGATTGTATATCTTGCTTCAGGTCGCTGAAATCCTCAAAGATCGTCCTTCTTGGTTTCGCGATTGCCGTTGCCTTGATGTACTGAGTGTGATCCCTACAGGAAATGGAGGGACTATAGAGCTCATCTATATGCAGGTTTGCCATCTTTGTGACCCCCAGAAATATTGCGGACTTTTGAGCAATCTGAAGCTTGCAGTTCCTTTTATTATGTTCGAGTATTTAGCTGATTTTGAGATTTCCTTTTGTTAGACTTATGCACCAACAACATTGGCGTCGGCTCGTGACTTTTGGACATTGAGATATACTACAAGCTTGGAAGATGGTAGTCTTGTGGTAATGGGATAAGCATAGTTCAATATCATATTATCCAGTGCAGAATAGTATGCATGTCTTCAAGTTTCTTTATGGCGTCCTATGTTGTCCACTTTTCCTTTTCCTTTCTTTTGGGCCAGTTCATACCTAGACTCTTGAGCTTTTAAGAGCACCATGTAACTAGCATTATTCTGCAGATATGTGAGAGGTCTCTGACATCTTCTACCGGTGGCCCAACTGGACCTCCATCTACCTGCTTTGTTAGAGCTGAAATGCTGCCAAGTGGATGCCTAATAAGGCCTTGTGAGGGTGGTGGCTCCATTGTTCACATTGTTGATCACATTGACTTGGATGTGAGTAATCCAACAACTTGTTTATTTCCTTGTGTCTTTGTTAGGCCTTTCCCTGGAACTTATCTGCTATGTGATGTAGGTTTGGAGTGTTCCTGAAGTTCTGAGACCCCTTTATGAATCATCCAAAATCCTTGCCCAAAAGATGACTATGGCAGTACGTCTTATTGTACCTTTTAGTATCTTTTTACTGATTGTGTTCTTTTCTAGACTTGTACAAACATCTATATTTTTCACACAGGCATTGCGACACATACGCCAAATTGCTCAGGAAACAAGTGGAGAAGTTCACTACAGTGGGGGACGCCAGCCTGCTGTTTTGAGGGCGTTGAGTCAGAGATTGTGCAGGTGAAGGGACTTGACTAACTCACTTGTAGAGTTCTACTATTACCATCAATCTTTTAAAATTTATTTTGGCAATAACTGCGTCCAGTCTTTCTACTGTTACTGGAGTCTGTACAAGCAATTTTGCCAATTGGCAGGGATCTATTTATTGAAGTCCAGTCACAGCCCTGGGGAGACTAAGTTGTTATGATCTCTTTGTCTTGTTCTGTCATTTGTCTCGTTCCAAAAGTCCCTGAAAACGATAGGAATTTATTGCAGGGGATTCAATGATGCTGTTAATGGATTTGTGGATGATGGTTGGTCAATTATGGGAAGTGATGGTGCGGAGGATGTGACTATAACCATAAATTCCTCTCCAAGCAAAATCCTTGGCTCCCAATACAGTACCCTGTCTATGCTTCCAAGTTTTGGTGGGGTCATGTGTGCCAAGGCATCAATGCTCCTTCAGGTGAATTTCATCAGTTGTTTACTCGTTTTGAAGCAACATAGATGCGCCTCTTCCAGTTTTCTATCATTTTCAGCTCTCTTCCTTTAAATTCATTTAATTTCCCCTCCAAGTTCCTTTTCAATAAATAAGTGGTAAAGAATTCTAAATAGCTGTGTTGTTTCAAAATCTGCTCGGAACTAACTACGGTTTGGTATTCTAGAATGTTCCTCCTGCTTTACTTGTTCGTTTCCTGAGGGAGCATCGATCTGAGTGGGCTGATTATGGGGTTGATGCTTATGCTGCTGCATCTCTTAAAGCTAGTCCATATGCTATTCCTTGTGCAAGGCCTGGTAGCTTTCCCAGTAGCCAAGTCATCTTACCTCTTGCTCAAACTGTGGAGCATGAGGAGGTAATCAAGTTTTTGGTTCTTTGTCTTTGGATCCATCTTGGGATCTTGCGATTGAGATAAAAGTTTGTTTCTATTTCTCTTCTGATTTAGTTTCTGGAGGTGGTCCGACTGGAGGGTCATGCATTCTCCCCAGAAGACATAGCTCTGTCACGTGATATGTACTTATTACAGGTTTTGTATCTTTCTCTTTTTGCACTAATCTGTTAATCTGAATTTATGGTTTGTAGTCTGTGGGTTGTGAAAAATTTGTATCTAATTCTCTTTTATTTTCATTGGCAGCTTTGCAGTGGGGTTGATGAGAATGCTGCAAGTTCCTGTGCTCAGCTTGTTTTTGCGCCCATAGATGAATCTTTTGGTGATGATGCACCATTGCTGCCATCTGGTTTCCGAGTCATACCATTGGATGCTAAATCAGTTCAGTGTTTTTAATCTCTGCACTCTTCTAAGAGATTTTATACTCTTCTTTATTGTTTCTCATTCAGAATGGTAAATCAGTTCAGTGTTCAAAGTGATGCTAGGCTTTTTAATGAAGTTGCTACTTTTTGAGATCATTTGGTCTAGTGTTGCCCTCTCATATCTTCTTTCAAATAGATTTCTGTTGTGTGCACTTTATTCTGCTTTCCAAACTTCGAAACTCTGGAAATTGAACAAAGCACATTTTCTGCTTGTCAAGTTCCTTCTTGAAGCTCCATGATGAGTAACAAGTCATTCTTCTGTTTCTGATTAAGATTGATGCATGGTGCAGGATGGACCTGGAGCAACTAGAACATTGGATTTGGCTTCTGCACTTGAAGTGGGAACTGGTGGAGCACGTTCAACTGCTGAAGCCGACCCAAAGAATTACAACCTTAGATCGGTTTTAACCATTGCATTCCAGTTTACTTTTGAGAATCACTATCGCGAGAATGTGGCTGCGATGGCACGCCAATACATCCGCAGCATTGTTGGCTCTGTCCAGAGAGTTGCAATGGCTATCGCGCCTTCTCGGTTGAGCTCCCAGATGGTACCAAAGTCGCTACCTGGTTCACCTGAGGCTGTAACTTTGGCACGATGGATCTGGAGGAGCTATAGGTAACGGGGGCTCAATTAATTTTTAACCTGCTTGATGGTTCATTGGTTTTGAAATGCTCTCTATCTTGGAGAGCTATAAACCGAATACTGTTGTTTCATATGCTCAAATAACAACATTTAAACTCCTAGTGGCTGTCAAAAAATAAAATTTTGTTGCATTTGGAAGTATTTGGTTCTCACTAACTTACATGTTCTGTTTCAGTGTAAACTGTTTGGGAAGATGGGGTGTGTTTGAGGGCTAACATATAGTTTACTTTTGTTCAACTTGCACTGTGCAAAGTTGAAAGTGAAACCATGTAAACTAAGCCTCTCCGTTTCTCGATATTCAATTGTCTATTAGCTCATACATGCGTGCTTGCCTTGTTTAAGGTTGCAAACTGGGGGAGAGCTACTTCAGGTGGACTCTCATTCAGGTGATGCCATTCTGAAGCAGCTGTGGCACCATTCTGACGCTATAATGTGCTGTTCTGTCAAAGCAAACGTTAGTCATGCTAATTTTTTCCTCAGCTTTAGTGTGCATTTTAAAATCTGTCGCATTTAAATCTTGGATTCCATTAAAAGATTGCTCAAAAATTTTCAAGTAGTCATCAAGTGTTCAATCTTGTTATTGCAGGCATCTGCAGTGTTCACATTTGCAAACCAGGCTGGCCTTGACATGCTTGAAACTACCCTCGTGGCCCTTCAGGATATAATGCTTGATAAGATTCTTGATGAAGCTGGGCGAAAGGTTCTCCTTTCAGAGTTCTCTAAGATAATGCAGCAGGTTAGTTTATGTACACGAATCATAGGACAAAGTATGCTACAAGAATTGAAAGGACAAAGTGGAATGTAGGTCTTAAAATATGGTACTGGCATTTTATGCAACTCCCAGAATCAAATCGAAATGATTCTACCTTTGAGTCCGTCTTGTTGCCTTACAGGGGCTCAGTCATTTTAGCATTCTAAAGAGCAAATTTTGAGACATGTACTTGCCTTTACTGCAGGGCTTTGCCTACTTGCCAGCAGGAGTATGTTCATCCAGCATGGGGAGACCTATATCATATGAACAAGCTGTGGCCTGGAAGGTTCTCAATGATGATGATTCCAACCATTGCTTGGCTTTCATGTTTATGAACTGGTCTTTTGTGTAAGGACAACTAGGTACTAAGACCGGCATTAGCCGTCAGTTTAAGTTATTGTAATTTCCTTTTGGTAAAACTTTGTATTACTTGTTTAACAGGTTATGGCCTGAGTAGCTATTTGCCTATCTATTTCCATGCGTGCATGGAGTACTCGTTTTATCGTATGAATGATGTGTTTTGCGTATGTCTGCTTGGAAATACTCTTAGTTATCGTATGAATGATGTGTTTTTGCCTTGGGGTCTCAATCAGCCTTCCATTTTTCAATTGCATCAAAATGAACCAAGGTGGTTGAGAAATCTTATCCAAGTTCATAGGATGGACCATTTTGGGGGTTTCTGATAATCCCCACAAAGGCCTAATGGCTGGACCTTACCCATAATTTTGTTTATTTCAATTCTTTTATTTTTTTTTTCTCGTGGGTCATGATTATATTTCATGATTCTGATGGAAAATTCCTCGACAGAAAAGAAAAATGGGAGTCTTGTGGTGTATTTTGGTTTCTGGCGCTCGTGCATTCTCCTCTGGTTATATTCGTACCTATGCCTGCCTATAGTCCATGGAATTGGAGATTTGTGTTTTTAAGTAGGTGCAAGGTCTATTTATGTCTGCTAGAAGACACTATCATTGTTGGCTTACAATTCAAAACTAACTGCTCATGATTAAAGAGGCTGTAGGCAATAGATTTGACCATTAGATGCAAAATGTCACAATCACTGAGAAACCAACTAGAAGCAAGGTGGTTGAATAAATTAGCCATGAATTTGGGTTCTTTTCTTAAACTAGATCTGAGGAAGATCATAGTTTTGAATTTGTAGTGTCAAAATCATTCCCCCTGCTTTCATTTTCTTTGTAGCTTTTGTCTGGTGTGCACAATTTCTTGCCTGTTTGAACTGAAATGGAATACGGGTTTGGTTACCTTTCGCACGAACTGTAATTAATGTCTAATTAAGGTTGCTAGTTTACCTATCGCTTCAACTGTGATTAAGGCCACTGATTAAGCTGACTTGACTTTGAGTTCTAAGTGTTTTAAGTTTTGAATCAAGGGGCGTAATCCAAATCCTTTGGTTCAATTTGAAATCAACCTTTGAGTTGCATACTTTCAATACTCGATTTAAATTCGAGTCAACTTTGAGCTCAATAATTCCTAGAGTTGCTTTTTAAGAGTCGGTATTAATGGGAAAAAAAATACATCGAACGGGAAAAAAAATACATCGAACGTGACAAAAAAATATATTGAACATGAACGCGTTCAAGTCAATTTGAACTCAATAATTTTTAGAGTTGCTTTTTAAAAGTTTGTATTAATGACAAAAAAAAATACATTGAACATGACAAAAGAATACATTGAAACACGTTACATATACATCAAAATCGAAAAAATTTATTAAATCTCAGAGATTTAAAAGAAATAGTAGTGGCAATATGACTCGACTCCATCTGAAATTTGGACCTTTAATTGGTTTTTCTTCAAGATATATATATTTATCAAAATTCTAAATCTGAAATTTGAAAAAAATGTGGATTACAAATTTGCAAGAATTCTAATTGGAGGATTAAATTCAGGCCATGCTATTTACCCCAAAAAAAAAGAAAAAAGAAAAAAGAAAGCCCTTAGACCACGCCTATATGAGTACTGCTAGTCAATACAAGGGGACCACGCCTTGTGACACTCCCCCACAGGCAGATATCCCCAAGCTCTCCTCTCACCACTGGGTCCTGATACTGCTCTCCTGGCCTGGCACCCTCGCTCGCTCACTCACTCACTCACTCGCTCACTGTGGCCTCAGCACAGTCAGCAGCAGAGACTGACCGCCGCAGTCCCACATTCAAACAAACTGTCGTGAAGTCATCTGCTGCTGGCAAAGATCTGCACATCTGTGACTATCAGCCAAAGAATATTTTGGCTCTTGTCCTCCCTCATTTGCAGGACCACTCTCTCTTATCAATCCTTTCGCTATCTGAATTTTGTCATGATACAATTGGAACACCTTTTCATTAATTAAGTAATTTAATGCAATTGGTCAAAGAGGAAGCACTTGAGAAAACAACCAAAAAGAAAAAAAAAAACAAAAAGAAGGAAACAAAGCACTTGAGTGAGACTCTACCCTCTCGCAACCACTGACTTTTGGCTGCCATAAAAAAGAAATAGGGTTTGTTTGGATAGAGTATTATTTGATGGAATAATTACTGTAGCACTTTTTGTGATGTGATGTATGTGAGATAAAAAAGTAATTAAAAATATAAAAAGGTGGGTTGAAAAATGTGTTTATAATGCAAGCGAAATATTATTTGAGATATTTGTGCTATCCAAAAGTCCTTCTTTGAACTGTAGATCGAGAATTCAAATTCTACTTATAGTAAAAAAAAAAATTTAAAGGAGGTGTTAGAGTATCCTGCTAGTTTAGTCAAGTTTATATATCTGCTAGTCTCTTTAGACTCCCCTCTCCTGTATAATATGATAGATTAAATTATACAAATATATCGATGTCGGAAAAAAAAAAGAAAAAGGAGAGTCTACCCTCTCTCTCGGAGTGGCTTAATCCAATCGGCTAAGGGAGAGCATTTGGGGTTTGTTCTATTTTACTTTACATTTTACAAATTTTGATTTTTAAAAAATGGCTGTAAAAGATTATGAGAATTAGCTAAAGTTATTACTTGGCACATTCTAGATTTTAACTCTTTTTTTTTTTTGTAATCTAAAATCAGAATTTATAATCAAGAAAATAAACAACTCAGAACAAGCTGAACTCAAGACTCTTTTGACTAGCAAGGTTGGGAGTTCAGATGATTGTCTTGCCCTATGTGAGATTAAATTCAGGAGTAGAAGTATTGTCGTTGCCCTAAACAAAAAGATTTTCCTTGTCCATTTTCTTGAGGTATAAAATTAACCACAACTATTTACGCTATTGCACTGATATTACTCGAAATTACTACCAAGTTATAAAATGAACGCACATTTTTAAGACTTGATACTCATGTGATATCATATGAATTTTCTGCTCAAAATAAAAATTATTTTGGAGTTATCTAAAAGGGTACTCCAAACTAACCATTTAAGTACATACTTAAATTTAATGTTCCCCCAACATTTAGGCAATTTTTAAATTTAATTTTAATTTTGTACAAAAATGTAAAATTCAAGGCCCTCTTAATGAATGCCCACTACTTGTTAGACAAATTCAATTTAATTTTTGTAGTTTTATTTGCCTGCTTTCTTTTTCAAGTTAAATGACCTACACTTTTGCCTCTTAATTTGAGTGTTTGAATCGTACGCCAAAAAACAAAAATTTGTTTGTATGCCCTCGGTAAAAAATCAATGGTTAATTTATTTATTTCTAAGAATTTGACATTGTTTAATCAATGGATTTGGCATAGTTTGATATGATTTAATTGAATTGAATGAAGGCCAATTAATTTTTATCTTAACTAAATAAATTAAATAAAAAATTCACTGTCTACAATCCAATTTGTTAACTAAATAATGATGATTAATGACAGAACCTCATCAAACAGTAATGTAAAGTTATGCTCCAAATTTGGCTTCAATGCTTTGCATGGCGCCACCATATTGACTGAAAATTTGAAACTATGAACCATATACCAGCTTTTTAATACCCATGCCATTATATTTAGTGGCACGAGTAGAAAAAAAAATTCCAAGGCATTTGGTAGCTTGTTTATTGCTCCTTGGAGATGGCTATTTCGAAAGCTACCCTCTGCATTGTCCTTGTTCTTTTTCTTGCGGCAGGTAAATTCTTTGCCTCTCTGGGAAAAAGAAGATATTTTCTTTTATGATAACTAATCTATGCATATAACCACTGAAATCAGCTCAATAGTCATTGATAATTCCTTAAGGCTCTCTACGCTAATTAGGCTTATCAATTGAGCTTTTTGAATCAGGTTTCCATAAGGCCCAATTCGGCTCACAAATTATATGAATTTTTTAATTTCAAATTCATATTAAAAGACTCAAGATCAGCTCATATTATTATATGAGATTTGGCCTCAAATCGGGTTTGGCCCAAATTCATAATTAAATACATAATTATATATAATATATATTATAGTTATGAATTAATACAAATTTATATATAAATTATTAACATTTTATGTCGTGATATGTATAATTATAAATTATAGATATTATTATACACCTTTCGTCCCATTTATGTGTCATGGTCAACTTTGCACACGGTTTAAGAAAAATAAATTTTGACTAAGGCACATAAGCTACTAAAAAATGTCTTTCTGTTATTGCTCTTCAATTAAACTTTAAAATTTTGTAAGTTGAGTTTGGAATTTTAAAAAAGTCACAACTACTTTAAAACAAAGATAATTTATTGCATGATTTATTAAGAGAATATGACTTAAGTGCTTTACCTTGGGACTTGTATTAAGGGTATGATAGAAAAAGTTGGATTCCATTTATTTCTATTTTAAATCATGACAAGCAATTTGGAACAAAAAAAAAAAAAAACCATGACATATAAAATGGGATGGAAGGAGTATGTATATATGTATATGTGTGTGTGTATATATATATACACACACTTATATATGGGCCGGACTTTAATCGAACTTGTGCCTAATATGACCCAAATTCAGTTCACATTTAGTTGGGCCCTAATATTTAAATCCAAACTCTTCTCAAGCTAATTAAAGTTCAGACTCAGTGAATTTTTTTTTTTACTGAACGGGGTCGAGATCAGATTTGCCAACCCCATTGACAATCCTAACGCTAATAACAAGACAGATCCCTTAGCTCTCTCTAGTTCTCCTTAGTGTGTACGCGCGTGCACGTTTGTATATATATATATATACATCTATAACAATACACGTTTCCTTCTCTCCTTATTTCAACTTCAATTCTTCAAATGTCTGCCCCTTCATAAACCACCTTGTCCTTGCTTTAATTGAGATGAAAATGACGTTTGAAGTTCTTCAAGTTATAATAGCAAAGTAACAGTAATAATTGATACAAACCAAAATGAATGTCTCTGCAAGGGCATTTAAGTAATTACACCAATAAAGAAACTATTATGGGTTGTATCCATTGTAGAAAAGATGATCAAATAATCTCACATTCCCAAACTACCCAAACCTTTGAACAAATCATCACTGCATCTTTTAGAATACAAGGACATTTTAGTAAACACAATAATGCACATGCTATCTATAATTCTATAGTAGTACCAAATACTATAACTACACTCAAAAAAATCTCACAATCCCAAAATACCCCTACTCTTGCGGTTGAAATTCAAAGCCATTCTTTGACCCAAACTCATTCTTATATAGTATAAGGAGAGAAAGTAGATATATGGGTGCACGTTTGTATATATATATATATATATATATATATATACATCTATAACAATACACGTTTCCTTCTCTCCTTATTTCTCTCCGTAACCTCGAATATAATTACTTTGCTCAAACTTCTAGTAGTGATGTATACATTTCTTTCAATACATATATATAGGGTGTAACAAAAATTACTGCTATGTATAAAAACCCTATTGCTTGCAAAATATTCATAGAAAGAATCAAACTCAGGACGATATAGCTTTACTTGCAAAATATTCATAGGGTAGCAATTTCTACACCCGTCTGTATCTTAAACGAAAAAGAATGATTTATGAGTATTCATACGTAGTTAACATTAACTCTTTATCCATTTTTCTTTTCTGAAATGCAATAAATCAAAAATTGGCTAACCTCAGTATATGATTTTTTGTGGTGACAATACAGCTAACAAAACGGTCATGGCGTGGGTGAAAACTATCTACATTCTACGCCAATCGACCCGCCTAAAAGATGCACAGATGGCTTAGCTAGGTCCATGCAACGTAAATCGTGATGATGCCTGTTGTAGAAAATTGTGCAATAATAACCATAGTTCTCTTCATCCACGGGGAGATTGTGAAGATGTTCCCGGAACTGTTCTAAGGATTTGTACCTGCCGCCATGACTGCACTTCCTAGACCTTTGTTCTATCGTGCATGCAGAATCACACTTGGGATCCTCGGTGACATGTTTTCTATGCCAATCCAATGCCACCTATAGTATTGCGCCAAGTGTCCTATTATTATTTACATTTGTGTTAAACCAAACTAAGTTGAATTATTAAAAAATTAAAGTGTAAATAATAACAGGACACTTGGTGCAATACTATAGGTGGCATTGGATTGGCATAGAAAACATGTCACCGAGGATCCCAAGTGGCAGAATCATGTGCAGAAGAACCATGCATGTATTTGAAGGCATTCAGAGTGCAACGGATCTTCTGTCCCACATCCTGTGTCACTCTCTGTTCCACTTTTTATTATATTGCTATTTCTCCTTCATAAACATCATGTTTTAATTCTTTTTTGTTTTCTTAAGATTCAATAACTATTAATTGAGTAATACACAAAATTTAACAAACTAAAAAAAAATCAAAATGCATAAAAAATGAGATTTTTTATGAATTTTCTGCTGTATTTTTTAATTTTCTATTATATATTACTTTTTTGAAGCTGTTGTATTTATTTTTTACTTAATTAATAGTTATTGAATCTTAAGGAAACAAAAAAGAATTAAAACATGATGTTTATGTAAGAGAAATAGCAATATAATAAAAAGTGAGACAGAGAGTGGCATAGGGTGTGGGACAAAAGACCCGTTGCGCATTCAGAGCCTGAGATTGATAAACAAGTTATATACATATTTCATCTCCCTCTTGAGATAACTTTTAATTTGTTTACTCAATTTTGCATTGATTGAACTCCAGTGAATTGATATTCAACACATGAAGCTCAAAATCGAAATAAATTAAGGAAAAAAAGACAAATCTGTTTCAATTTGAGAAACCAACTTTGCATATTTGTGTATTTTTGTTCCTATAACTTTTTTGGAAGATTTTTGTTCCCATAGCTTCATTTTAGTATATTTCGCTTAGCTTGTATCTAGACATGACCAGAGAGGCCAATCTTTCCGTAAGACCCTTTATTTGATACTACCCTCTTAAATAAAAATAATAATTGTGTCGGTATGGTCTTCAAGGACATCTAGAGCAATATTAGCCTTCTTCTACTACTTCTTTACTAGTTAAGTTTCTAGTGGATAAATGATGTAATTAATTTCACCTTAGCAATTCCAGCAAGGATTCCATCATTGTCAAATTCATCAATTTGGGTAATTTTTGCGAGGCTTTCTTATGCAGAAATATTGAATCTCAGCAATATCAACCTCTCTGCCATAATCCAACATAAAAAAAAATTAAAGTAAAAAACAACCCCTTCTGATGTCATGAATCAGGTAGAAGTAATACGTAAGAGCAATACAGATTGCTCATGCGTCCATTGCAAACAAACCAAAATGTTCAGCCATGTAGTCCTCATTGGCTGGTTCAATTTCATCAAATAAAATAAATTTCAATATAAGATTTGCCAAAATTTCTGGCAATTGATGTCAGGATATGCATCTAGGTCACCAACAAAAGGAAGCATACTACATATCTCAATCTGCTCTAATTTCTGTCTCATACTGTTTAGTTTAGTACCCAAAATTTTCGATTTTCTCATGCTTGTGGGGTGCTGCTAGAAGCCCCCCATTATGGTGAGAATCATATTGACTAGTGACCATTTGCTCTTGAACCACATATGTTAATGTTGTTGAAAAGTACCATGTGCAAAGCACTTAGTGCATATTTATGTAACCAAACAAAAGGCAACTATGACTGCCCATTTCCTTGCTTAAAACCTCTCAATGTTTTTCCAGAAAGCTTACCAAATCAATCTTTTGGCTAACAGTGGTCGATTTTCCAGGCCTATTCCTGGATCAATCTTTTGGCTCCATAAGCTGTTGAATTCACTTCCCTGTAGGCAAATGGACTTGATACATGCCGCAGAAAATCCATAAGATCAAACATACTCTTCGCCAGCATCTAGAGCAAAATTGGCAGAATCTGTCGTTGAGCCTTCTACTTCCAGGTGGTCAATCTCATTTACTTCACTGGTTAAGCCATCTTCAGAATCTGCTTGATCAGGTTTCCAATTCTTCAGGAGCTCCATTACTTTCTTGCACTGTTGCTCGGGTTGTGGGACTCCATATATGTTCATAAGAACTAGAAGTGATTTTGCAAGAAGTTTCTCCTCCCGCAAAGCGTTCAGGTAGCGTTTTTTCTGGGATTAAGAAAGCCTCATTTGTGAGCTCAATCCTAAAAGTCCTCGATCTATGAACCTGTAAGCAAGAAGTGTATATCCAAAACTCACCCTTATTCTTCTTGTCATTGAACCGTTAGTAAGATCAGTACACAAATGGTGTAGCTTTATCATTGGAGATCTAATCTTCTCAACATAATTGTAATGTGATCTTGCCACTTCATCTCCATCGAAGAAGTATCCAAACGATATACATTTGCACATCTCGCTATTAAAATCAATTACAATGTTATTAAACTCTGTTGAGTGATGAAAAATCTCTATCAAATAGTTTTTCTTATTTTATTTTTAGATTTGAATTTATTTCATATTTAGCTATCAGATCTGGAATTTTTTTGGACCTTGGGTCTATCTCGTTGATCTCATTATTATTGGAGGTTAAAATAGTTGATTAGTAGATCTAGTAATTACAATATGTATAGAAGAAAGTTGCAGCGATTTATCATATTATAAGACATTTTAAAATTTCTTCTAATTTTCAGATCTTTTTATAATTTTCAAATCTTTATATCTGTTAAATCGCAGATTTGTTATTTGTAGTGCATATTTGTCTTGCCATTAGTGTAGTTTCTCTGATGTAAATCAAATCGGATTGAATGATTTCCAATAATCATGTTAATGAAATTTGCTTTTGTCAAACAAATGAAGAAATACATATAAGCGTGTGTTTGTGTAAGTGTGTGTGTGTGTGTGTGTATATATATATGTATATACACACGGATTATGACAAATAAAAGAGACACAAATTACTATAGAACTACTATATGCAAAAAAAATAATAATAGAACATAAATTTAACTAAAACTTGATTCTTTAACAAATACAAATGTTAGAGAAGCAAACAAGTGGATAGAGGAAATTTCTTGTTTGTTCAAAAATAAGAATTTGAAATGAAAGAACTAATTTTAAAAAATCAACATAATCGAGAGGTAATTTTGTCTTTTAGGGAGTTAATGAAAAAGAATAAAGTTAGGGTGTAAACTACACATTTGATTATACCAAGGTTTTATGATTAACCCTTCTCTTTTTATCCCTTTTCGCTCTATCTTCTCTTCTCTAGTCTTGATTGGCATGAAAAATTGAAAATTTTGTGAGTTGCAGTGTAAGTTTAAGTTAGAGCCATGTCTTGGACTGTACTTTTTTTTTTTTTTTTTTTAAAGAGTATATCTTTGATTATTGGACCTGTGGAACTCAGTAGATGACGTTGTAGTGGCTGTATTTTGTCAGTACTGTTAAAAAGTAAATCCTTTAATTTATACAATAAAATCACCTAATTGCACTTAAAAAAATCAGTATTGCAAGGATCATTTTGCTCTGTTTAAGTAGTGTAACAAGGATGTAATGGTCTTATTATTTGGTTATGGTGATATTAGTAAAGAATCGGCTTGTTATTGCAACATCCACTAGAGGTAGCGAAACTGAATTGTTTAAAAAACAAAAAAAAAAGGTAGAAACTGAATTACTGAAACCTACCATGCAGATCACTAGCTAGCATTAGTCCATTTTCACAATGACAATTAGAAGAAAAAAAAAAAAGATTAGTCCACTTTTTATCAACCTATATAGCTTTTGGAAATTTTAAGTTCCCCTACAGAAAGTTAGTTCTTGGACTTAGAATACCAATGGATAGTTGCACCATATCATTTTTTTTTTCAAACGAGGAAACATAATTCTGGTTACCATAGTTTACTTTATCTAGAGTAACTTATTTGAGGAGTAATTATTTGTGGCCCGAGAATTGAGAATGACATATTGGTTTGGAAACATTAATCATTCTAACAAAAGAAACTCAATCTAGTTACCATAATTTATTTTTTCGCAAGAGTAATTATTGCCCATTGGGTTTTTATAACAGGTGCGTAATGGACACCTACTAACATATTTAAAATTCACCTAACTTACTATGTACGTACACATACTATAATCATTATCTCCTTGTATTTATATATATTTTTTATTTAGTCTTACAAATCTTTCCTTATATTTATTTACTTTCCCTAATTAATGCTATTCATTAATATATTTAAAATTCACCTAACGTACTATGTATATACACATACTATAATTATTACCTCCCTTACATTAATATACTTTCTCTATTTAGTCTTAGAAACCTTTTCTTATATTTATTTACTTTTCCTAATTAATATTATTCGTTAACATATTTAAAATTCACCTAACCTACTAATGTATATACACATACTACAATCATTACCTCCCTTGCATTTATATATTTTCTGTCTCTCTTTAGTCTTACCAACATTTCCTTATATTTATTTACTTTCTCTAATTAATATTATATTTTTATAAATATGATATCTAAAATATATCTTAAAGAATGACTAATGGGCACCTGTGAGACAGACCCTTTAAACATTAATTATTTGTGTCCAAGAATTAGTTAGGTGCCAGTTGACATCAATACTTTCATGTTAAACACCTTCCAAATATATACAAAATTATTTTGCCCAAAACTCCATGTATTTTAAAAGACGACCGTTTTCTAGAACTATTTATGGGGCACCAAAAACTCATAATTCATGTCACTAAACCCAAAAACTCATACACATCCTTAGTATAACACTAAAGATGGAAAAGCTTCTACGAACAAATGCATGCTTGATTTTCTTGTGTTTCTTGGTCGCCACAAGCTCTTTTGGTTAGTAATTTTACATTTTTACTTTTCAGAATTAACATATCACCAACCAATGTTCTATGATTGACAATTTTACTATATGATATGGGGTTTTTTTTTTTTTTTTTAATTTTTGTAATAGGACTACCAGCAGTTGATGATAATGCTCAGCAAAAGGTTTGGGTAGGCCAAACACTCAAATATGGTGGATCCAAAATAGACACAACTTGTCACGGTGATGCAGATTGTGGACCAATCTGTAAATCTTTTGGTTCTCTTGTAGGGTGCAAATGCATCCCTGGCAACGTGTGCTGCTGCCGTTTGCGGTCACGACCGTGCCAATGTAGTTGAACACTTTGTCATGTATCACAATTCTCATGTATTGCTTAAATTGTTGCCTCAATTATTTGTTGCTTGAAGACCAAATGGATGCTCAATGAAGTCTTATTATCATGCATTTTTGTTCTACAAATGTGATTTGCGTAATTTGAGTAACTTCAAATGCAACAAAATACTCATCACGAACCACTCCTTGAGGTTTATGTTTTTTCAGTAAACATAAAAATAAAAACATATTTACTCTCTCTCTCTCTCTCTCTCTAAATTAACATTGACAAAGAAAAAAATAAAATGTTATCAAAGGCACCTACTAATTTATGGACAAGTTTAAAAACCTCTAAAGACTTATCAACTTGCATGAGTTGAGACTTATAACAAACTAGAAGATTGATCAAAAAAATTTTTGGGGCAACTTAACTATTAAAAGTTTTATTTTCCTCACTCGATTTTTTAATTTGTAAACTATTTGTCATTCCATCCGTGTTTTTAATGATATCGTTTTGATTCCAATGAATCTAAAATAAATTATGTCTATGCGTGATCAATTAAAACATAGAAGAGAAACCATTCATCAATTTTATACCATGATCAAGAAGTAATGAAAATAGATGAGAAAAAAAGTTGTTGGATTTAATTAAAAAATTTTGGTGTTCTATAATATTTTTCTTTTAATATTAAGTATGAAATATAGAAGTCCTTGAACTTAATTATAAAGCATTCTTTCTCTCCTCTTTCTCTTTTAATTATTTTTTCTTGATGACAAAGAGAAAAAGCCAAATAAAATGGGTATTAGTTACACATGCTGATTTATGGACAAGTTTAAAGGTTTATCAACTTGAGTTGAGACTTCTGCTAAACTAATTTGATACAAAAGTTTCGGGACCACTTAACTCTTCAAAGTTTTATTTAACTTGCTCAATTTTTGACTTTTTAAACTATTATTCATTCTATCAGTTTTTTTTTTCTTTTTTGGTTGCATCGTCTTGACTTCGTTGACTTTACAAAAACTTACATTTTTTTATAGATAAATACATAAACTTATACATACATACACACACACACATATATATATATATATATATATTTGTGTATCTGTGTGTGTGTAAACTTACATAGAACTATAGAAGGGAAACAAATCATCATCCATCCTATATCATGGTCAAGAAAAAATGAAAATAGATAAGAAGAAAATGTTGGATTTAAGCCAAAAAGAAGTTTTTATGTTCTATAAATTTCCTTTTCGGATAATTTCAGAAACATCCTCTAAAGTCTTTATCAATTTCACTAAGCCTTCTTGACATTTTAAAATTACAATTTTTCCCCTAATTTGACACTTTTAATGAATTCGGTCAAAAGTTTATTGAATCATCTAAAATGCCCTCATCTAATAAAGTTCAATTTTTATTTCTAAACAATTGTAAAGTAATTATAAAAGAATGTGTGTCCAATTTTTTATGACTAAATTTATTGTTTGATAATCAACTACAACGACAAATCTCATTAGGATTCACTACTTTTATTAGTGCTTTATTGGAGATAGAGGTTCTTTTTAAGATCGAGAAGAAAGTGTCACCATAATTTTTTTAAAAGTTTGTGGATTAGTCAAGTGGTAAAACTACCATAGTTTAGTAGTGATTTTGGGCCATTTATTTCTTAGTTATTGTTGAATTTAACCAAAAAAATAAATAAACAAAAAAGAGTTGCAAAAGAATTAGACAGTATTCAAAGTTATAAAAAAAATGTCATTAGCTTGACATTTGATCGAGATGGAAGCTAGGGACCAATAGTATTGTGATTTTGTTGACAAAATATAAGAGTAACAAAAAAGAAGGGAAATGGAAAAAAAAAAGTATAAAACCCATCCTTTGTGTAAGCATAACAAGGTAGCAAACAAAAGAATATCATTAGAATGTTAAGGCTAGCATTAGCACCTTAAATGGATAAAGGAGGCAACTAGGCATAATTTTTGAAACATCAAGGCTGCTAACGGAAATTGTTAGAAACATGAGGTGAGGTTTCTGAAGTTATCCCTTCTCTTTTCTTAAACCAATGCATATGAAAGTCCTTAGACTTAATTATACATAAATTAAAGAAGGGTTTGGATAATGAATGTCCCATGGGCACCTGTTAAGAGGAGACTCAAAATGTTAATTTTTTTGGCATAAATTAAACTAATGTGAAAAGTACCTAAATGTAGAAGGTCCAATGAATGTGAATGTGTACATTTACACGATAAGTTAGATGTAATTTAGTTATACAGATGAGTATTTTAAGAACACCCGTTAAAACAAAAATTCATTAAAGAAACTTAATAGTAAAATGAGCTATTAGTCTCCACAAATAGAGCTTTCATAAGTTATCCAACACTGTTAATGACTGAGCGACCAAAACATTGTCTTAAAAATAATTTGGTGACCTCCTAAATCTTTTACCCTTATTATCATCTAGAATATATGAACACAGCATCACATGCCCCTCCTCGCTGTTATCTAGTATACCAACAAGGCATCAAACACAACTGTTTACTAAGGGCTTCCTTTTTTATACTTACATGTTTAAGGTACCACTACCCATTTCTCCCATAAATACAACCTCCCATACATACGGTGTATTGATGTCCTCCCATACCATGTATTTCATCAATGTTCCGTCACCATGCCATGCATGGCAACTAGTTGAAAAAATCATGCATAATACATACACATCCAATCATCATGCATATGGGGGTTATGGGGAGGAGGGGTTAACTGGCTAAGGCATAGCATCTTCTCTGTAGGGTCTGGACTTTATTAAATGGGGTGATTTCCTTTTACAGCATTTGAAAATCGAGGCAGTTTGAAAGGTGAATACGATAGGCCCTTGTTTGTTTCTTTGAGCCTCGTGCTCCTTCCTTAATGTATGCAGTAGCAGTAGTTATTGCAAGTCTTGATTCAGTTTTCCCTCCGAGGAAAACTTGTGGTTATCAGTTTCTTTCTTTAACCATTTTTTGGCACACAAAATTTAGCCCATTTGAACTATTCGTTTGCGTTTTCTCTTCCAAATTAGTAGATTACTTTGTCTGGACATGTAGTCTATTATCGTTAGCATGGAGCTTTGAAGCTAAACAAGGGAAAAAAATGAAAAGGCAATTTCTTATCCTTATGTGATTTTTTTTTCTCTCGTATTAATAGAGAGTGTGACAAATTTTACGTGTACTATAATCATTAAAATTATATAATAATCCATGCAAGTTAACAAGAAATCGATTCTTTACTCAAATTTCGAGAAAATTATGACTTCAGAAATAGAAACTGATTTGAATATAAACAGATTCAAAATTGTGTACTTATTTGAGAAAATTGTGAAGTTTGAAGGGAAAAATTTTGATCAGGGACAGCACAACATGATAACCAAGTGACTACTCCAAGAAAAACTGGATTAACCCTTGATTTGTATTGTATTAATATATGAATGTGTATTCTTCCCTCAAAAAGGGGAAAAAGAAAGAAGAAAAATCTAGTCTTTTTGGCGTAGCAAATCTTCAGACCAAGTTCATAAAGAACTGTTCCCGCGTGGAGGCTCTTTAGCTAGCTTTCTGCCCTTTTTTTGTCCATACGCACGGTTCTTCAATATCTCTCTCTTACTTTTTTCAGGTGAGAGATTGATCAGATCAGACGAGCGTGCATTTGAATCCTTTTCATGCCACTGTTGTTGTTCCAGGAAAAAGATCAAATTCAACCCACATGACACTAACACATATGATATAATACTAGAATCTTCAAAAAAAAAAAAAGTGTTTAGAATCTTGTTTTTTTTTTTTTGTTGTTTTCTAGATATTCTTGGATTTTGTATTATGGATAAACAGTTCTTTGTCCTAATATTTTTCATTATTAATGAAAGTGCATTTCTGTCATGTTCCCCTTTGGATTGTGTTTCTGTACACAAAAAAAAAAAAAAAAGAAACCTTCACCATTTTTTGTGAATAGCAGCCCTTCTACATTATTTACAATAATTTTTTACCTCGTATGCATTATATTCTAAAAAAATATTCGGGTAATTTTCCCTCAAAACTCTCCAACAAATGCAAATCCAAACGGGAATTGCCTTGAATTTAATTGTACACTTTCATCTTTTTTTTTTGTTTTTGTTTTTCTTCGTGAAAGCAAGAAAGAAAGAGAAAAAAAAAAGGGCTACTTACTAGGGGTGTAGGGATTGCTTCTACGCATACGTAAGTGAAAATCTAGTGTAGTTACAGAGCTTAAGATTCAAAAGAATCATCATGGGCTCTTCGGAAAACATGCAAAATAGACCAGTATAATAACTTTTGAAAGAAAGGGATTGGATTTGGCCATAGCTAGCCTTCCTTAGGGTATCGTCCTTACTCTCCTCTCTCTCCTTTTCTCTGCAGTATGAAATATGAATATGCAGCATAATCTTTGACCACTTCGCATTTATGTAATGCCATAGATCTCCTTTGCTTACTTGTGGAAGGAGGTTTTAGAGTTTTGGGAAATATGCAAGGAGTTGCTGTTTTAGTAGAAGATTTGGCACTTGGCAGAGAGAGAAATGATTATTCTTTTGTCCATCATTTCCTCTCTCTCTCTTTGTTTTTTTTTTTAGGCTTGCATAAAAACTGAAAAGGGTGTAGTTTTTTTTAGTAGGGATAGTTTTTCGGGGAAATTTTTAGCTGCAGTGGTGGTATGATGATTGAAGGCTTTTGAACATTGGGTTTTGGATAGGACTGTTTGAGAAACCAACTAAGAACAAAAATCAAAGATGGTTCGGTTGCAGTTTTGATATATACCCAGCAGGCCATCTAGTAGTTCACAGTTAGTACTAGAAACTAGAGGGGCATCTTTATCCGGTGAAGCCGATTAGAATATTCCCTCTTCTTTTTTTTTTTTAATTTGTTTTTAACAAATTGATGTAAATCGTTCAGCACGATTTGATTTACATTTTTATTTTAGCGGCAGATTAAACATGCATTTGAAATAACAAATATGCAAAAACACTAGATTTGAATGATTTTAAAAATATTTAAAAAAATACAAGACATTTTTAAATTGACTTCTAATAAGATAAATCGCTGCAACTCTCTTTTGTGCATGTTCCAATCACCAAATCTATTAATTAACTGTTTCAAGTTTCAATAAT